AAAAAAAAAAAAAAAAAAAAAGAGTACAGATCATATTTTTTGGCTTTAGGACATGCCTAAATGTTTTTACTGGATGCTACACAATGCGTACACATCATTAGTTGACAGATTTTGCTGTACTTACTTTTAGAGTTATATTTTCTTCTTGCATGCTGTTAAGTTATGGAAATTGCTTTCAACAATTCAAGGCTTGCCTTTAACCAGCACTCGGGGGAGGAGGGAATCTAGAACAGACCAGACTTGATTGGACTCTCTGGATAAACCTGAGCAGATGCCCTGTGTTATGACATCTTCCCACTACAGCCAGTGGGGACACAAACTGTTCTGAGTCCTATGGGCTCCTTTCCAGTAATTCTTCCTCTGGGCTAAGGTTTTGTTGTGGTTATTGTTGTTTTGATGTATGTTCAGATCAGTAAATGGCCAAAACTTCTAATGGACTGCTCTTCTCCTACAATCTCTAGGAAATTAATTCTCTCTTTCTCTCACTCTCTCTTTCTCCCTCCTCCTATGAGTTAGATAGTGCTATTATCCCCTTCATCTTTGGGGAATGCTGGGAGAATGGGGACCAAAGATGCCATTCTTGGCAAAGGAAATCATCCCCAGAAAAAGAGGAAAACTAAAAAGTAAACTGAGTGTGTTGGAACAAAGAAAAGTCAGCTAGTTTACATTTAAGCTAGCCATTGCTGGGGATACAGCTTACAAACACCCTGCTGGGTCCACGAGCACTCTGAGAATAATGGTCATAGAAGAGCCTATGACAAGTTCTAGGAAAAGATACATTTTCTAGGGCATTTCCTGCCCATTAAGCAGGCAAAGCAGATACCCATTGTGGAGATTTGCATTTGCCTGGGGCAGAGACCAAGGGAATAGGTGGAGCCTATATAAAAAGAGCTTATATCCCTTATAGCAGAGGAAGAGCCTCTGTGGTGGTGATGAGAGGAAAATGCCTCCCTCCCACCGATCCCTCAGAGGAGATTAACACTGGTGCCATTTTACTCCACAGAGAACTAGAGGAGCTTAACACCTCCCTAGAAATCTGCGTGTGTGAGACCTCAAGCCGGAGGCTCTCTCAATACAAGGCTCAGATTTCACATTATTGACAGCTACCCTTAAAGTTAATAATAATAACAAGAGAAGCTGATAAAATCAATCTGAGAAGCTGCTGACGTCTTTGTTCCCTCCCTATTCTTACCCTCCAGGCAAATAGACTTCAATAAAATCAGAGTGGGGCAAACACTCTCAGCCATTGCCGGAATCCCACAATGGGCAATGGACCCCTGAACTCCCACTTTTAATTCT